CCGCCTGAGACTTCCTCGCCACTCACTCACAGACGAGGCTCCTGCTTGATACTCCCTCCACAGTCAGGCCTGAAGAGCCCAAAAGTGACGACAGTTACAAGAATCCAATGACCCGCCTCGGATTCGAAAATGAAGTGCGGGCCCCATAGGGAGGGGCTCCCGCCTGAGACTTCCTCGCAAGTCACTCACGGACAAGGTTCCCGCCTGATACTTCCCCCATATTCAAGCCTCAGGAGCCCAAAAGTGACGACAGTTATAAGTTTGAGGATGACCCACCCCAGATTCGAACATGACGTGCGGCCCCCATAGGGAGAGGGTGCTCCCGCCTGAGACTTCCATGCAATTCACTCACAGACAAGGCTCCCGCCTAAAACTTCCTCCATATTCTGGCCTCAGGAACCCGAAAGTGACGACAGTTACAGGTTTGAGGATGACCCGCTCGGATTACCAACATGAAGTGCGGCCCCCATAGGGAGAGGGGGCTCCCGCCTGAGACTTCCATGCAATTCACTCACGGACAAGGCTCCCGCCTGATACTTCCTCCATATTCAGGCCTCAGGAGCCCAAAAGTGACGACAGTTACAGGTTTGAGGATGACCTGCTCGGATTACCAACATGAAGTACGGCCCCCATAGGGAGAGGGGGCTCCCGCCTGGGACTTCTTCAGAATTCACCCACAGACGAGGCTCCCGCTTGGTACTTCCTCCAAATTCAGGCCTCAGGAGCCCAAAAGTGATGACAGTTACAGGTTTGAGGATGACCCGCTCGGATTACCAACATGAAGTGCGGGCCCTATAGGGAAGGAGCTCCCGCCTGAGACTTCCCTGCAATTTTCTCACGGACAAGGGACCCGCCTGAAACTTCCACCATATTCAAGCTTCAGGAGCCCAAGAGTGACGACAGTTATAGGCTTGAGGATGACCCGCTCGGATTACCAACATGAAGGGCGGCCCCCATAGGGAGAGGGGGCTCCCGCCTGAGACTTCCTCGCAATTCACTCACAGACGTCGATTCCGCCTGATACTTCCTCCATATTCTGGCCTCAGGAGCCCAAAAGTGACGACAGTTACAGGTTTGAGGAGGACCCGCTCGGATTACCAACATGAAGTGCGGCCCCCATAGGGGGAGGGGGCTCCCGCCTGAGACTTCCTCAGAATTCACCCACAGACGAGGCTCCCGCTTGGCACTTCCTCCAAATTCAGGCCTCAGGAGCCCAAAAGTGACGACAGTTACAGGTTTGAGGATGACCCGCTCGGATTACCGACATGAAGTGCGGGACCCATATGGAAGGGGGTCCCGCCTGAGACTTCCTCACAATTCATTCACAGACGAGGCTCCCGCTCTAGGCGTCCTCCATCTTCAGACTAGGGAGTGAGTGATGACGAAGTGATGAGTGAGCGAGTGGTGCTGATGCTGATGCTGATGCTGATGCTGATGCTGATGCTGATGCTGATGATGATGATGATGATGATGATGATGATGATGATGATGATGATGATGATGATGATGAGTGACAGAGTGATGATGATGGTGTTGATGAGGATGAGGATGGTAATGATGACGATTGATCGAATTATGATGATGTTGCTGATGAGGAGGATTTTCATGGTGTGAGTGCGAATGAGCGTGATGATTATGATGATAGTGAAGATAACGAGGATGATGATGAATAGTGACGATGGGTGATGATGATGATGATGATGATGATGATGATGATGATGATGATGATGATGATGGTGAGTGAAGGGGTGCGGGGGTGATGATGGTAGTGATGACCAGGATGATGATGATGATGATGATGATGATGATGATGATGATGATGATGATGATGATGATGATGATGATGATGATGATGATGATGATGATGATGATGATGATGATGATGATGATGATGATGAGTGATGATGACTGATGAAGATAACGGCCAGCGAGAGGAAGAGAAAGAGAGATTAAGAGAGAGGGGGGTTAGGAGATCCTGCGCGGAGGGTGTCCAGAGAAAACAAGAACCCCACTTAGGATGTGGGGAACAAAATCTCAACTTTCAATCCGCAAACCATGGATTGCGATTTCCACATGTATCTTCTAAAACTCTCAAGTCCATTATTCCCAATGCTGAACGTGTCCATTCCGCGCCGAATCAGCAAATCACGCCACGAGCAAAAAGAGCAATTCGCTAATCGACTTGGAAGGGCGAGGGTTCCATCAACCCCTGGGGCAACGCCAACGTGGGTCACCACTGGGGGGCCGCCACCTCCTCGAAGAAGCGCGAGTTCCTCGAGGAAGCGGCACCCCAAGAACGCCCCAGAGCCTTCCAAAACGACCCCAAAACGTCCCCTCCTCCTCCTCCTTCTCCTCCTCCTCCCTCCTCCTCCACCTCCTCCTCCCCCTCCTCCTCCTCCTCCCTCCTCCTCCTCCTCCTCCTCCTCCTCCCCCTCCGCCTCCTCCTCCTCCTCTCCTCTCCTCCTCCTCCTCCTGCTATTCCTCGTCCTCGTCCTCCTCCTCCTCCTCCTCCTCCTCCTCCTCCTCCTCCCCCAAAACGTCCCAAGCTTAGATCCTGGCATCTCGCCTTCCAGGAGGAGCTGGAGGCCCCCCCCCCACAGCGGTGACCCCCCCTGGCACTGCCCGACTGCCCGAGCCTCCGAGGCAGGGCGAGAAGGGACGGGCCCGGCGCCCGCGAGGAGCGGGCCGAGCGCCCACCGACGCGCCTCTGCGCCCCGCACTCCAGCACGAAGTACGGATCCTGGGAGAGCGCCGCGCCGCGAAGGCCATCGGCGGCCATCGGCGGCCATCATGGGCCGGGTGCCTTTCCAGGTTTGCTCCAGGTGCTCGATCACGTTGGCGTGGGCTCCTCACGCCGCATGGATCTATCACGTACGGTCGCGGCCTTCTCACAGCACAAGTCACTCGACGTCGACCCATTCCGCGCCACTCGCGGCGTGACACCTTGAGGCCCGCAGTGGGGACGCTGCCGCGTCAACGCAGCACGACCTTACCATACATGGATATACGATATGAAATCTCACTGTTAAAAACATTGGGGCACCTTCTTCGTCGATCTGTGAGGGTCCTAAGTTGCCATAGAACCTCTGTGGGTCGCTGGGGCCACCGGGGATGAGAAACCTCAGCGGGGCACCTGCTGTCTGGCCGATCGCCCACTCCGTCTAAAAACCAGACGGTGCGCGATGAGGGGGGAGAGTACTCCAGATTCCAAAGTTAGGAAGGCACCAACTATACACCAACACCGATCCTGGGCCAGGATCGGTGTTGGTGTATAGTTGGTGCCCTCCGAAAAAGGGCGGGTCTGATGTGGGAGGGGATCTGATTTGCGCTGTCCTGGAGGATTCCGAAGGGGGTCTGGACCAAATATGCCGCCCTTTTTCACGGCTCGTCTGGGGGGGGGCCTCGACCTGCACGTCCGGAAGCGCTGTGACCCCCACCCCTCTTGCCACGAAATCTGGGGCAGCCCTCGCTGCTCGGGGCCCACGACCAGAAGGCGCCCGCTGGGCAGCCCCAGCAGGGCCGCCCCGCCCCCGCCCCCCTGCCCGACTTCACCTCTCCCGGGGCGCGCCGGGGGGGGAGGCGCTGGAGCGCCGTGCCCGCTGGCCGCGCCCGCGCGACAACCGGGGTCCGTTGCCGGGCCCCGCTACTGCGCGGGGGGGGCGCGGGGAGGCGGGAGGGGGGGAGGGAAGGAAGTGGAGTCGGTCCGGCTCGGAGGACCGCGGAGACCTGGTGGAGCCAGGTAGGAAGGCACCAACTATACACCAACACCGATCCTGGCCAGGATCACCCTGGGCCCAGGATCGGTGTATACGCCCTCCTGCCTTGCGCAAGAAGGCATATACACCGATCCTGGGCCCAGGGTGATCCTGGGCCAGGATCGGTGTTGGTGTATAGTTGGTGCCCTCCGAACGCGGGGAGGTGGGAGGGGGGGAGGGAAGGAAGTGGAGTCGGTCCGGCTCGGAGGACCGCGGAGACCTGGTGGAGCCAGGGCACCATGAACCAGCTCAGAGCTGCGGGAGGGGGGCTCCGCACTTTGGGGGAAGCGTTCTGGACATCCGACGGAGCACCTCTGCCCCCGCCTCGGCGGGGCGAGGCGGACATGCCTTGCTCAAGTCGCGCGCGCGTGCACCGCGCCGAAACGCCCGCACTGCGGACAAAACAAAGCACCACAAAGGACAGACAGCGCGTGTGTTATATGCACACGCGGGTACAGAACGCGATTCATGGGCTCGTCCTGGACCGAGATCCTCGCCCCACAACAAGGGCCTGGCCAAAAGCGCAAGAGTGGTCCTGTCATGGGAAACTTGCGGTCGCAAATCTGACAGCTGAAGAAACTTCCACTCTAAGGAGGCTCGTACGAAGCGGCTCTCAATCGCAGCTGACGGAGTGGCGAACGAGGAGAGCGAGAGCGGGGGCGGGGTGGCGGCCCCCCCGACCCGGCGGCGACGGCCCTGGCACACGAAGCAGCAACCTCCGTGTGGACCGCCAGAAGACGACATAGCACACTGTGGGTCTTATCATCCACGTGCTGGATGGCCTGAACAACGGCCTCTGGGGCGGCACTTTTGGCGGCTGCCCAGCCAGCCAAGAAATCATCACACCAACTTGGGAAAAACTGGGCCCGAGAATTTCCAAAGCGGCCCTGAGTTTCCAGGGGCGCGTGAGAGTTAGTCCATAAAACCGTGACCCGACCAGGACCCCGATCATCGAGCACTCCCAAGGTCAAGATCCAGAGATCAAGCATCGTCGTAGAACTTCTGACCTTAGTTCGTGGCTCGTGAACAGCACGAGCAAGAGGTGAGAAATCGGTACACTCAACAAGATCACCAGCAGTATTCCGAAGAACCATGAGGAGCGCATATAGGTCAGCTCGGGGGATACTTTAGGCAACGGTAGGTAGAGGTCCCACACGTGACTGCGTCCAACCGAAACTCAGACTCATGTCCATCATACTCATAATCTGGCATCGCCGGGCCGTGCCTGACGAAATTTTATCCGCTGGCTTCCACGGCATCACAATCGCCTAAGCACGCCGACGGAGACGCACATCTTTAAGCATGGGGGCCTCCGGAGCCATCGAGGCCCCACATACCGCCATGAACTCTACGTTGGTGAAGGGACAGGCCCCAACCCCAGGCACAGGACTGAGGAGCAGGAACCAAGCCGACCGTGCCGCGGGAGCTCGGAATCCCACTAGACCAGAACGCAGAGCTGGGGTCGGCGGCGAGAGCCTCCTCTTTCAAAGGGTTCGCGGTGAGGATAGCCGTGGTATGAATGTAGTCATTGCTAAGACACGCCCAGCACCGGCGTTGCGGGGTTTAAATCTCATCGGCACAGCGCGGGCATCGATTATTTGTAAGATAGTTTGCGTCGCGCAGGCGGGCCTCTGGCCAGCACGCAGCAGCCACAATAGTCACAAGCATGGCAGCACGCTGGTAGTTCAGCTCCTGTAAAAGCGACTGGTACAAACGTCGGAAGACCGTAAAATCGGGAACATCCTGCAGGCCCTGCCCACGGTAGCGCCCCGCAGCCTCACTCCAAACCTGGGCGGAGACGGCGGCGCGAACACGCGTAACAAGATTAAACCGAAAATCCGGATCAGTCAACCGAAGAGGAGGTGCACAAGGGATATCCCAGAGGTCAATCTTTCGGGGCACCCAGCCGAGGTCCAGTAGGGTCACATAGGTGGAACTGAGGGGCCCAGTCACTCTTCTCCACCAGTCAGCACCAGGAAGAGCGAGTCCATGCTCGTCGCACTCCACTCGGAGTACCAGCAGGGAGTGAAGTCCAAACCTCTGCTGGAGCTGCCCTGTAGACGGGGTCGTCCTGAAAGTCAGTCAGGACACTGAGGACGGTGGCAGCGCATGACCCTGAAGTCCAGAAACCTGAACAGCTCGCTGCCGAGGCCCGAAACTGGCGGAGCTCCCCAGGAGGTAGGCCCAAAGCAGCGCGCCCCCAGGAGCCCACAGAAAGAACACCAAGCTTAAAGACCTTCCTGGACTTGCCACACAGGGCCGCTGAGTACCTGAGCATGCGGGATCGGCAAAAAGCCACAGCACATCTAAGCTTCACCTTCCATGTGCGACGACGCTTGCCAACGGTAGCGATGGCCCCCAGGCCCTTAGCTGAGGAGGAGAAGGGGAGGTCAACGCCAAGCCTGCGAGACTCAATGGCCAAGGATTGTCCCACGTCCTTGCCAGAAGCAACGGCGCAGGACTTCGGAACAGCGAAGCATCCGACGCCCTGCACATCCTCACGAATGGAACGCACTGCATCAGGGAACTGCCGCACCAGGAAGGACGGCGCACCCTGGAGAGACTGAGCGATGTCGTCGACACAGGAAAACGGAAGGGAACTCTCGACACACCACTGCTGGAGCTGCTCGACACTGCCGATGGGATGCTGCGATGGGCCCTCTCGAGGACGTCATAGAGGTAGCACTCGACGCAAGGAATACGCTGGGCGCAACCTGCCAAGATGTATTCCCCAGCTTCCAAAACTCGGGTGAGCCTGCCTTGGACTTCCAAGGTCCGCGGGGCCGCATGGATACGCAATCCCAGGCACAACAAATAGGAAGGGTAGTCACGCTCAGCAGCGAGGTGCATGAGACGCGCCGGCGAAACCGAGTCGAAGAACTTGTCCATATCCCACTGGGCGGACACCGCCGACACGCCACTAGAGAACGCTCCTTCATAGCAAACCCTCAGAGACAGAGCGGCCTGCAAGGCCGAGGAGCCTTTGACAGCAGTGCCCCAAAACTGCAGGCGATATTTACTCCAGAAACCGATATCAAAACCAGGCGCTTTACAGTAGATACGGCATCCAGCATGGCATTTGCAGAAGCCCGCTCCTCGCAGATAGATTTGGGCAACATCGCCATGAGACAGAGGAAGCACGGGGGTGGGACGGTGAGCTGGGCTTGAACTCCGCGCAAGATGCCGAGGAACTGCTCGAGCACCCCGACGGGCAAGCCGAGAAACGAGCGCGGAGCCCACCAATCGACACCAACCGACGCGCTGGACGAGAAACTGGCACACGCACGAGAGAGATCACGCAACTCCAGCGGCTCGACATCCACGAGAGCTGTCTGCGCCAAAGCTCGCAGTTCAAGTCCTGCATTCAGAGAGGCACGGGCAACGGAACAAGGGGTCCACCAATTGCCCCAGAAGGTCTCCCCGGGGCCCATCATGCTAACAGGATCGTTTACAACGCCCTCGGGGGTCCTGGAGTACTCAACGTGGACCTGCTCGTCAGTTTCGAGGCGCGCGTGGGCCTTTGCAGCACCCCTGGGAAGGGAGAGCCGAAGCCAATCATGGATAGAGCGCCTGGCCTTCGCGTGGGCCTGAGACCAAGCTTTTCCACAGACTTCGCCAGCTCGTTCGCGCATAAGCCGAGCACCATCAATAGTGCACGGGGAGTCCTCCAAGAGTGTTCCAAGCTTGGCCTTCCTCAGGGTCGGACAGGGGCTCGACGTTGGCGGAGACGTCAGCGGCGAAGCCGCGGAGTGTATCTCGGCGCCTCTTCGCAGCACGCGAACGCGGGTTCTTCGGAAGCTTGGCGCACTCATGCAGACGGCTAGCAACCATAGACCACAAAGCTAAAGCAGGCAACCGAAAACACTGTGCAGCAGGGCCTCGGAGCGAGAGAGGTGTCGGCCCCCTTCAGCATGGATCCGCGTCCATGATACTGGAAGGGCAGGCCAATGAGGACACGCGCACGGGACACTTGCATCATCTCGACAGCTCTGGACCACACCAGGTACTGAAGCCCAAGCTCTCCCGAAACATGAATGCAAGCATGCTCAGGGAGAGCAGCCAAGAGATCTTCAGGAAATGCAGGGTTGGTCCAGCATACATCCCGAAACGCCTCCGAAACATACGAAAGCCAGCAACTGTCAGGACTATACGCATCAGGAATGGTTCTGGGTTTCAACCGCTTGCAGACGGGATGAGACAGGGCTTGAACATCGATAAACACATCCAAGCCAGCATGAGCCTTAAACGGGGACCTGGGGTCAGCCCGAACGCGCACATAGCCGAGTAGGGTCTCAGAGCACAAGACGTAGTCGATCATAGTCTCTCCGACTGCGCACGCGAAGGAAACATTCTCAGGGATTAATGCGACTGCTTTCATGAGCTCAAGCAGTGGGGCTCCCTATGGGGTCACGAAACGTGTGAAGAGTGTGCCAAAATGAATGCGGTGAGCGCATGCGAACGCAACCAGTGGAACTGTCGGTGGAGCTCCCCATCGGGCCGCGAAACGTACGAGGGGCGTGCCAAAATGGGCGTGGTGGGCGCATGCGAACGCAGCCGCTAGGGCCGCCGGTAGAGCTCCCTATGGGGCCACGAAACGCGTGAGGGATGTGCCAAAATTGGCGCGGCGGGCGCATGCGAACGCAGCCACTGGGGCCGTCGGTGGAGCTCCCTTTGGGGCTACGAAACGTTTGAGCGGTGCGTCAAAATGCGTGCGGTGGGCCCATGCGAACACAGCCACTGGCGCCTTCGGTGGGGCTCCCCGAGGGGCCACGAAACGTGTGAGGGGTGTGCCAAAATTGGCGCGGTGGGCGCATGCGAACGCAGCCAGTGGGGCTGTCGGTGGAGCTCCTTATGGGTCACAAAACGTATACGGGGCGTGCCAAACATGAAGTCGGTGGGCGCATGCGAACGGAGCCAGTGGGGCCGTCGGTGGAGCTCCCTATGAGGCCACGAAGCGTATGAGGGGCGCAAGGGATAGGAGGAGGATGAGGAGGAGGAGGAAGAAGAGGAACGGGACGAGGAGGAGGGGGGGGAGGAAGGAGGAGTGAGACGCAGGGCGCTCTCTCTTCAAAACGAGGACCCAACACCACAGGATGGTTGGGAATGATAAGTATGTGTTCCTCGGCAACTTCGCTGACTAATGTGGCCCTCTTGGAAGCCCTGTGCGGGCACTCTGGCGGCCTCTTGGGGCCTCACTGTACCGCTGCGGACTTCCTGGGGCAGCCTGGGGACCTCCTAGGACCGTCGTGGGGCCCTCTTGCAACTTCTGCACAGCTCCAGGAGCCTCCGGAAGGAGCTCGGGGAGTGCTCCGGGGAGGTCGCCGGAGGGGAGGCGCCACTGAGAGGACCCTGGGTGCCACGCTTGTGCTGCGGCGTGGGGCCCTTGCAGTCGGGCTTTTCTGCATACGAGCGGAAGGTGGTGACACTGGGAGGCAAGGCTAGAGGAGGGAGGTGGCAGGACGACGAGAGCGGAGGAAGGCGGGAACAGGCGGAAGCGAAACAATGAGGAGGGAGTGAGAAAGAGGGACGGTGGAGGGAGGAGGCAGACGTAAAAGAGAGGAGGAGGAGGAGGAGGAGGAGGAGGAGGAGGAGGTTAGAGGGAGGACAAGGGGATGCCAAGTGATAAGGAGAGGGACAGGGAGGGGCAGGGCGGAGGAATTACCGAGGCTGGAAGGAGGATGGAGGGGGGGGGAGGGCGAATGCACGGGGCTGAGGGCACGAGGCAAGGGAAGGAGGAGGCGAGAGGGAGGAGGGAACGGAGGCAGCTATTTCTTCAAGTCGGCGGGCGCGCAAAGGTTCGGAAGCGGCCAGGCGCCGGTCGGGATCCAAAGGCGGGGGCCGCCGAAGCAAACTGGGGCACGGTAGTCGGAAGAGGGGAGAAGCGGAGCAGAGGCAAGGACAAAGAAGCTCAAATCATGCAGACCTTCACGGGGTGCGGAGGAAGCTGCACACGAGGAGTTTGGAACAGGGCTGGATGAGGGAGAAGGCGGAGGCAAGATGGACATGAAGGAGGAGGACGCATGGGAGAGAGAGGATGCGAAGTGGGAGAGAAAAGGGTGTTGAGGGGTGGGAGGCGTAAGGATGAGAGTCAAGGAAGAGGAGAAGGAGAAGAAGGAGGAGGAGGAGGAGTGGGAGGGAGAGGAGGAGAAAGAGGATAAGGCGAAACCCCCTCCCTCTCCTTCTCCTCCCTCTCCCCTCCCCTTTCTTGGCCCCGCTCTTCCGCTCCTTCCTCTGGGATTTGCCGTCTCACCCTTGGGGTGGTTTGGCCCTCCGTCTGTGCTGCGTTACTTCAGGCGCACCCACCTTACCCCACCTGGTAATTAGAGATCGTGCGCGTGCTCTTCCCTCATCTCACCTTTTCCCTAACTGGGAGGTTTTTCTCCACCTTTTCCCTTCTCACATTTTCCCGAATGAACCCCTCCCCCCGCCCAGCCGCGGCGGGGGGGAGCCGGAGAGGTGGCTGCAGGGAGACCCACGTCCGCCATCAGTCAAGTCAGGTCAGGAGGAGGAGGAGGAGGAGGAGGAGGAGGAGGAGGAGGAGGAGGAGGAGGGGGAGAAGAAGGAGGAAAAGGAAGAAGGACGGGGAGGAGGAGAAGGAGGAGGAGGAGGAGAAGGAGGAGAATGGAATGGAATGGAATGGAATGGAATGGAATGGAATGGAATGGAATGGAATGGAATGGAATGGAATGGAATGGAATGGAATGGAATGGAATGGAATGGAATGGAATGGAATGGAATGGAATGGAATGGAATGGAATGGAATGGAATGGAATGGAATGGAATGGAATGGAATGGAATGGAATGGAATGGAATGGAATGGAATGGAATGGAAGAAGGAGACGCAAAAGAAAGAGGAGGGAATAGAGCACCGCGGTCCGATGCGCCCGTGCTCATCTGGGAGAGCCTGCCCCTGCACGCCACGGACCTCGTGTTCCGCAGGCAGCTGAACACCTTTGCGCGCCTGCCTCCCCACCTTGGCCCTCGATCCTCGAGCGGGCGAAGACAAGGCCAGGACGACCACCCCCTCCCCCTCCTCCTCCTCCTCCTCCTCCTCCTCCTCCTCCTCCTCCTCCTCCTCCTCCTCCTCCTCCTCCCTCCCTCCTCCTCCTCCTCCTCCCCCTCCTCCTCCTCCTCCTCCTCCTCCTCCTCTCCTCCTCCTCCTCCTCCTCCTCCTCCTCCTCCTCCTCCTCCATCGCCGACGACAGAAGCGCAGGGTGCGACGTGCGCCGCGCCCCATTCCTGCCACACGCACGCATTTTGCAGCGGCGACGAAAGAACGCCCATGTTTAGACGAAAAGCATGCAACACGCATGGCCTTTTACGAATAGGATGACCCCCCCCCGGATGTGGTTGCTTTCGACCGGTTGTGCCCTAGAGTAGAAGTATGCAACAATAAGGAAGAGTGATGGGAGCAGATCGCTGGCCCAACGGGCCAAGTGCGTGCGAAAAACTCTTGTTGGAGTTTGAGAATGTCTCCAGCTCGCGCGCGCGCCTGGCGCCCCCCGGGGGTCCCTGGACGACAAGCACCCTGGCAAGGTCCCCGCAGGGTCCCCGGAAGATCCCGGCAAGGCCCCCGCAGGTTCGGGCTAGAGATGCCGGAACTCGTGGGCGCGGCCTCGGGGGCCCCAGGCACGCCCCAATGAGGCGCCAAACGGGTGGCAGGCCCCACGGCCTCAGGCCAAGAGCGTTCCAAGATGGCCCACGTTGTTCCCAAGACGACCCAAGAAGCGCCCAAGACGCTCCAGGAGGGATCCAAAAGGACTTCGAGAGGCCCCGAAGATGCAAACATCCTCGATTTTGCTTTTGTTGTCGGACGAATCTGGCGTTACCGCCTTTCGAGCTTCCGGCCGCCCTGGACGGCCCAAGAGGCCGCAAGATCACTCAAAGACGAACCAAAAGGCCTCCAAGAGGGCCCCCAAATGGCCCAAGATGGTCCTGAGACGGCCAAAGGAGTCTCCAAGACGGCCCCTGGATGGCCCCAAGAGGGGGCCCAGAGGGGGCACCCGAACAGACATTTCGAGCTCTCGGCCCCAAGAGGCGCCCAGGAGGCCCCCAGAGGCCCCCAAGAGCTCCCCACGAAGCCCCAAGGCCCCCAAGAGGCTCCCAAAGACGCCCCCAAGACCCTCAACAGGCCCCTTGGAGGCCCCAAGAGAGCCCCAAGAAGCCCCCGAGAGGTCCCCCAGAGGCCTCAAAACTGTTTCCCAGAGGCAACCGAGAGTCCTCCGTAGAAATCCCCAAAAGCATCCACGAGGACTCTGACCCACAACCCAGGCACGTCTCGAAAATCTGCTGGAGCTCTCTTGAGCCGCCTTGGCGCCCTCTGGGGCAGTCGATCAGCTCTCTTCGACAGGGTGCGAACCACATCTCCTAAGATCTCCTCGAGGACATTCCTGCCTGCACTACCGTTCCCCCTGGGCACCAGCACACCACCACGCAGTCACAGTGATGCGAAATGGGCTGGCGCAATGAGCGAAGCGATTAAAAATTTAGGAATAGGGATAGGAGCAGAAGTTGTTTCTACTCTTTCCGTGTTTTCGGGGCTTCTGGAAGGTCCCTCGTCGCCACGGTCCGCTCGAAAGGATCCGCTGACGCCCACTAGCCCACAACGTTGCATCCCCAGCGCCCGTGCCCGCACCGCCCATTGAAAATGCGGGCTCTCTGACATTGCGGAGCTTCTTCAAAATGCGCCCATTTGAAATGGCCGAGGGGCAGCTTCTACAAGGAGCTCGCGGGAGCGGCTTCGTTTGATGGGGCGTTCCAGTCCCTAGATCAGAGGCAGGGGTGCGACGCGCGTGGCGCCATCCACGCACCAGCTCTGCGCTGCTTTGTCGAGGCGCCGAGACGCACTTGGCGGCGGCGATGGGCGGAGCGAGGGAGGCGTCAAAACGAAAAAGGAAGAATGCCAGAATCGGCGGTGGACAAACCTCCCCTTAGGAAACCACCCTTTAGTGGAAACAACCTCGGACCGAAACCGACGGAGCTGGACCCGCAAAAATGACGGCCGCGACGCCCTCTCGCGAACCGGAAACGGCCGACTCGCTCAGAGCAGGAGGTCTATCAACCTCCGACAGAACGGGGTGGATCGTGCTGTCCTCGAAACGAGGGGACGAGGGGGGAGGGCGAGTTCGGACCGCGGTGCTCGGCCTTCGCGGGGCCACGTCGTGGCCACGGCTGGGCGGTCCTGGGGACACTGGTGTCTGGAGCCCCGAAGCGGTGCGGTGACAGACCGTGCGGTGACCTCGGAATCCCCCAAGACCTCACCGCACGGTCCGTCACCGCACGGTCCTGGGACCTCGGAGGCCCCAGTCGCCCGGGACGTCCTCGGAGAGGGGCTCGAGTCCCAAGACCGTGCAGTGACCCCGAATCCCCACCGACTCACCACTCGGGGTGGTCACCACCCCGTTTGGGGGCCCCCGATGGTGCGTCGGAACCCCGCGAGGGGGTCGGAGGCGTCAAAACGAATGGGACACCCGCTCACGCTGAAATGCCTGAATACGCTCCAGTACAGTCAACCAGTACAGTAAGGACGCGCGATAAGGATGCAAGGGCTTTGGACGCCCATTTCGAAGCTTTTCGAGCGGGGCGCGGCAAACGAAAGCGGCGAAGGATGGACCGAGGAGGCAAGGATAAAAGGGTACCCTTGGGAAGGTTGCCCATCCTTACTATCATGGTTGGACTGTAGAAGAGCTGACCACTTGACGACGGTGATGTCCCACGCCGAAGACCTCTGTTGCCGGGGAACTCCACGGCTCCTCGGCGAAATCCTCGTCACGAGGGCGTCCTGTGCTAGCCAGTCGTGCATCATCGCCGCGTGGGTGGCAGCAGACAAACGTGGGCCATGAGTACGGACAGGAGGAGGAGGAGGAGGAGGAGGAGGAGGAGGAGGAGGAGGAGGGGCCCAGGAGGGACCCAAGGCGATTTCAGAAGCCTTCTCCACGGCCTTCGACGGCCCGAGAAGGGCTCCTCGGCGGCTCCAGGAGACCATCCAGACAGCCACTCCTCTGGCCCCAAGGCTTAAGTCGGGCCTGTCCCTCTACAGGAGGAATATTCAAAAATAGTATGGCATCACACGCAGGAGCCACCAGAGGGAGACAAGACACCACTCGCGCGAAAAGCAGAAACAGGAGCAGGACCTCGAGCAGAGGCGGCAGCAAGGGCAAAATCACCAGCAGAAATACCACGAGCCGGAACTCATCGTCCTTCTCCTCCCTCCGTCCATCCCTCCACCCGCTCTCCTACGCCTCCTTCTCCGTCATTGTCTTCATCCGTCGTCCTCCTCCCGTGTTCTTCTCCTCCTCATCCTCCACCTCATCATCATCACCACCACCACCACCACCATCATCATCATCAGCAGCAGCAGCATCAGCATCATCATATCATTATCATCACTATCAGCATCATCATCATTATCATCACCAGCAGCAGCAGCATCATCATCATCATCATCATCATCATCATCATCATCATCATCATCATCATCGTCATCGTCATCATCACCACCACCACCATCATCTTCATCACCATCAGCATCAGCATCAGCATCAGCATCAGCATCATCAGCATCATCAGCCTCGTCCTCATCATCAGCATCATCAGCATCACCACCATCATCATCATCAGCAGCAGCAGCATTGTCATCACCACCAGCAGCAGCATCCTCCTCCTCCTCCTCCAGTTCCTCCTCCTCCTCCTCGTCGCCTTCGCCGTCGCCGCCGTCGTCATAATCATCACCAATCATCATCACCACCACCCCCATCACCACCACCACCACCACCATCAGCGTCATCAGCATCATAATAATCATTATCATCATCATGAGCATCAGCATCATCATAATAATCATCATCAGCAGCAGCATCAGCATCAGCATCAGCATCATCGTCATCATCACCACGACCACAACCACCACCACAATGATCATTAGCATCATCATCAACATCATCAGCAGCATAATCAATCCTCCCTCCTACATCCTACCTCCTGCCTCCCTTATCCCTCACGTTGTTCCATCTCCTCCTCCTCCTCCTCCTCCTCCTCCTCCTCCACCTCTACTCCTCCTCCTCTCCTCCTCCTCCTCCTCCCCCTGCTCCTCCTCCTCCTCCTCCTTCTCCTCCTCCTCCCCTCCTCCTCCTCACCTCCATGCTCCAACCATGCTCCTCCCGAACGGATTGCGGATCGGCGGGCCGCCTTGGTTTCCAGCACGGTGTCGCTGCCTCTCAGCCCGTGCGCACTGTGGACAGAGAGCCTCGCGGAGAATCCATGGGAGCATCCAGGAAGCATGACGTCCCCCTTCGTCCTTCTGCCTCCTGCATCATGCCTCCGCTGTCCTGCCTCCTCTTCCCCCTGCACCTCCCAGCTCGCTGGTCAAGCCAGGATTCAATATAAGTATCGAAATAGAGAAAGAGAGAGAGACCAAAAAAAAACGATAACGAGAGAGAGAGAGGGAACGAGAGAGAGGGAACGCGAGAGAGATAGAGAGAACGAGAGATAAAACGAGAGAGAGAGAGAGAGATATACAGCGAACGAGAGAGATAGAGAGAGAGAGAGAACGAGAGAGATAGAGAGAGAGAGACAACGAGAGAGAGAGAGAGGGGACGCGTACTCTCCGCAGAGAGAAAACCGGCCCACCTGGCCACCGCCCGTGTGGCGGCCCCCGCGCGGAGGGCACCCTTGCGGAGAGCACCGCGCAGCGCACGGTGGCTTGAAGACACGGACTCCGAAAAACCCAACCTCGTGCTTCCTTGAAGCAAGCTACCTCCGCCACGAGCCGCCCACCGTACGCCGGCGGCCCTGCCGCCGTGCTACTTCCGGCGGCGTCCGTCGGCCTTCCGCCGGCCTCCGCCGACGGCGAGACGAGGCAGCCGAGCCACTCTGGCACGACTACCCCCTCCCCCAGCGCAACACGGCATGGCGACTGGGCTCCGGCGCGAGCACTAAACCACGGTCAGGTCCCTCCTGGACGGCGCCCTCTCTGGAGCGCTGCACGTGTCTGGGGGGGGGGCCCTGGGGCTCGGCCAGCGCGGGCGCCAGGCCGCGCCGTGCAGCACGCTGGTCGCGAGGCACGAGTGGGGAGACCAGAAGGTGCCCAGAACGCCACTCCGAAGAGGAGGAGGAGGACGAGGAGGAGGAGGACGAGGGGGATGAGGAGGAGGAGGAGCAGGAGGAGGAGGAGGAGGAGGAGGAGCAGGAGGAGGAGAAGGAGGAGCAGGAGGAGGAGGAGGAGGCCCCGTGCCTCGTGCGCCCGTCGTCGTCGTGACCAGGAGGACCTATTCCAGGGCGCGTTCCGACCAGAAATTCACGGCGAATCCGGCGGCGGTGGCGAGGGCCTCCCGGGAGGCCCACAGAGGCGAAGACGATGCAAGTGCAGCGGTGTGTTTGCCTTTTTCCTTCTCCGAATGAGGCCGCCCGGCGTCTGAGCCCACGCCCGCAAGCCGGCTCTGCGCTCGGTGACCCGGCTGCACGCGGCCGCACGGAGCCATGCCGAGCCTCGCCCTGGCATGAGGTCGGGCGTGTCCCCCTACAGGCGGATTTTGAAGGAAAATAAAAGATAGCGAAGACATATTCAAAAATGGTCAAAAAGAGTAAAAAAAGTCGTACCCTCATTACTTTTTACTATTTTTGAATATTTCTCGTGTAGAGGGACAGGCACGACTTCACCCTGGCACCGAGGCCCCTGCCCTCGGCGGAGCTTTCTGTGCTCGCCCGCTCCTGGGGCGCGGAGGGACACGCAGTCACTGTGCTGCCATAAGAGCTAAAATCAGGAACTATGGCGCTCTCCCTGCCGTGGCACGCCTTGGCCATATTATAAGTTTCCCGGCCTGGCCCTGAGGAGCGACCCGAAAACTGGAGCCCCTCCTGAGCCTCAGGTGGTTCTGATCTCAGCGACTTGGCTGTACGGAAACTATGCGCCCCCTTGGAGGCGCACGTCAAGACCGAGCATGTAGCGCACAAAATTTCACCGTATTGTTGTCCAAGCGGTATGGCCAGGAAAAGCCTGCCACCGAGCATATACGTAGCACCCCGCGGTTGCGGATAAGAGTGAGGGGGCGGCGGGGTCGTCGTCAGTCTACGAGGCTCTGAAGAAGCCTGCCGCAGGTGCCGAATTGCCCCCACATTTCACAACGAGCCCGCCGCAGGCGCCGAACTTTGGTCAAAGCAATGTGGTTTCGTCGCGTGTGGGTCGCGGGTGGGTCGCGGGGTTTGCGCAGGTTGGGTCGCGGAGTGGGTGGCGGTGTGGGTCGCCAGCGGGTCGCGGGCGAAGACGGCGAAAACAACAACGCAACAACAACAACAACAACAACAACAAGAAGAACAACAACAACAACAACAACCACAACCACAACAACAACAACAACAACAACAACAACAACAACAACAACAACAACAACAACAACAACAACAACAACAACCACAACAACCACAACCACAACCACAACAACAACAAAAAACAAAACAGCAGCAGCAGCAGCAACAACAACAGCAGCAATCATGTTAAGACTGTTCGCTCTCATCTGCTCGAGTGTCATTCAACGTTTGTTTGCCAAACCCTCGATACCCGCCCTCTTCGTCTTCGATCGTACCCCTTTTGGGGGGGTATATATTTCTTCTCTGCAGGCCGGGCCCGGCAATCGGCGAGGCGGCCGCGGATCGTCGGCCTGGCCAGCAGCAGCGCTGATCGGCGGCAACCCGACACCAAGAGGGACGGACAGGGGACCGACCACGACGACGAAGACGACGACGACGAACACGACGACGACGACGACGACGAGCGAAAGCGAGAGCGAGAGCGAGATCGACAGCGACAGCGACAGCGGGGCCACGAAAGGCAGGAAGGGGGCCACGAAGGGCGACAGTGAGCCCACAAAGGGCATGCGTATGGGGCCACGAAGGGCGCGAAGTAGCGGGGGCCACGAAGGGGAGATAATGCGGGGTCACAGAGGGCAACGACGGGGCCACTGAGGCTAGCAACGGGGCCACGTAGGACAGCAAGGGGGCCACAAAGGGCGACAGCGGGGCCACGAAGGGAATACATATGGGGCCACGACGGGCGCGAACGAGCGGGGGCCACCAAGGGCATACATATATTGGGCCGCAGAAGGTAAGGACGGGGCCACTGACGGCAACAACGGGGCCACGAAGGGCGGCGAGGGGGCCACGAAGGGCGACAGCGGGGCCGCGAAGCGCATGAATATGGGGCCACGACGGGCGCGAACGAGCGGGGGTCACGAAGGGCAGCGAGGGTGCCACGAAGGGCTGCAACGGGGCCACGAAGAGCAGCAAGATCCCGATTCCGAAAATAAGCTGTGAGGGAATCTTAAACGTGAGCGCGACTCTCGGGTGCCTGAGTGCCGAGAGCGCGGCGCTCGAGTAAACTGCGAGGAATTCCAACACAAGAGCGTGATTCTTGACTAAATTGCAAGCAAGTCCCCAGCGAGAGCGCGACTCCAGAGTGCCGAGGAAGCGATTCCTGTGCCCGGACAGAACACCTGGGCGTGTAAGGAAGTCCCAAGCGAGAGCGCGATTCCTGGGCAAAATGCGAGGAAATCTCAGGCAGGAGCGGGGGTCCTGGCTAAATTGTGAGCAAATCTCAGGCGGGAGCCGTTGTTGCAGCGAAAGCCACGAAAGAGCTGCAACGGGGCCAAGAAGGGCCACGAAAGGCAGCGAGGAGGCAACGAAAGGCAGCGAGGAGGCCACGAAGGGCTGCAACGGGGCCAAGAAGGGCAGCGAGAAGACCACGAAAGGCTGCGACGGGGCCACGAAGGGCAGCGAGGGGGCCACGAAAGGCTGCGACGGGGCCACGAAGGGAAGCGAAGAGGCCACGAGGGGCTGCAACAAGGCCACGAAGGGCGGCGAGGGGGCCACGAAGGGCTGCAACGGGGCCACGAAGGGCAGCGAGGGGGCCACGAAGGGCTGCGACGGGGCCACGAAGGGCAGCAAGGGGGCCCCTAAGGGCTGCGACGGGGCCACGAAGAGCAGCGAGGGGGCCCCGAAGGGCAGCGACGGGGCCACGAAGGGCATCGAGGGCGCCACGAAGGACTGCAACGGGACCACGAAGGGCAACGACGGGGCCACGAAGGACTGCAACGGGACCACGAAGGGCAGCGAGGGGGCCACGAAGGGCTCCAACGGGGCCACGAAGGGCAGCGAGGGGGCCACGATGGGCTGCAACGGGGCCACGAAGGGCATCGAGAGGGCCACAAAGGGGCTGCAACGGGGCCACGAAAGGCAGCGAAGTGGCCACGAAAGGCTGCAACGGGGCCACGAAGAGCAGCGAGAAGACCACGAAAGGCTGCGACGGGGCCACGAAGGGCAGCGAGGGGGCCACGAAGGACTGCAACGGGACCACGAAGGGAAGCGAAGAGGCCACGAAGGGCTGCAACGGGGCCACGAAGAGCAGCGAGAAGACCACGAAAGGCTGCAACGGGGCCACGAAGAGCAGCAAGATCCCGATTCCGAAGATAAGCTGTGAGGGAATCTTAAACGTGAGCGCGACTCTCGGGTGCCTGAGTGTCGGGAGTGCGGCGCTCGAGTAAATTGCGAGGAGCTCCAACGCAAGAGCGCGATTCTTGAGCAAATGACAAGCAAGTCCCCAGCGAGAGCGCGACTCCAGAGAGCCGAGAGAGCGATTCCTGACAAAATTGTTGCAAGGAAGTCCCAAGCGAGAGCGCGATTCCTGGGCAAAATGCGAGGAAATCTCAGGCGGGAGCGGGGGTCCTGGCTAAATTGTGAGGAAGTCTCAGGCGGGAGCCGTTGTTGTTGTTGTTGTAATCCGGGGGCCAACAACGCAGGCTGACCCTGGTGCCTTTCCCTGATTAAGAACAGGGTGCGCGCCAGGGGGGGCACTTCAACTGAAAAACACACAATGGTCACCAGAGGAGGGATCAACAAGAATTATTGTTCTATAATGAGAATGCAATGATTTCAAAAATGTTCGTTCCTATCTGCCCGCGTGTCATTCAACACGTGAATCCCGCGCCCTCGGTACCCGCCCTCTTCGTCTTCGATAGTAACCCTCTTAGGGGGCATATCCTCCTTACCTTCCACGCGCATGTAACGCAGCCCCTAAAACAAGGGACCAGAACACGGAAGGAAGGGGGAGAGAAAAGGATGGAACACGAAGGAAATTAGCAGGAGGGAGGTAATGAACAGAGATCACGTGGTAGAACCAGTCGGGCAGATCGGGCGGGCAGACGTTAACCGGCGGGTCGGGAAGGCGGGCCCAAGCAACCAGGTCGAGCAGGCGGG